TACCCTAGTTAAAGCCCTAGCATTGTTATAGTGCAAACCATTTCAATATTTTTTATTTAAAACTTCATTTATCTAAAATACCTAATTGTTTCCAAAGTGCACCGAAATTCTCTCCCCTCTGTATGTTTAATGTATACAGCAAACATTCGGCGTATCCGCACTACCCCCCTCCAGGCAGGTCCCTTAATTCCCAGCACTACTTTCTAATGTCAATTAACGCCTCACGTCGCCGGATGTTCCGTATGCGCATGTACGTGGGTCATTGACAATTCCCAACTTTGTGTAATACGTCTTTCTACAAAAACTGACTGAGCTGGTCAATCAGAGCGACGGGCCAAGATCATCGACAGAAGCGGACGGATTGTACGGCTAGTCGTAGCGTCGGCTACTGCCACCGCCTCACCAACGACCACGTCGACGATGAAGATTCGCCGTCCGACTTCCTGAATTCTGTGTTCTGTCACGTGATCACTGTCATGATATTCCCCATCAACAATAAACATGGCCGCTGTCTTCTAGAACTTCTCCCCTGAGTTTTTTTGTCTTTCGTCATCACCCTGAGCTATCATCCGAGTGCAAAACGTACCTCTTGGACAATATTAACATTAAAGGACATTGCCTGGGTGTGTTTGACACACCAAATTATAATCGTAAGTAGATTATATCTACTACAAGCTCGTGCAGCGTTGTGAAAACAACAGGAAAAGGGGAATGCCCTCACAAAGGAGGGTGGTGTTAAACAATTTTCGGAGAAGTACATCGTACCTATTACAGTTGTACAGAAATAGGTGGATCAGCTACACCATCTGGACCAGACGAAGCCATCTTCCCGAGGCAAGGGAGTTAACTAATTTTATCATCCAAAACTGGCTCCCACAGGAGATATCGCTTGGATGAGATCAAGCGATGTCTACACTGTAGATATTGCTGCAATAAAATTGCATCACAATGCTTTGCAGACCATTGTGACGTCACTGGTTACCATGACGTCACAATCAAATGACATCACTAATGGCTTTGCTACTGAAGCTGTTAGCAGTACTTGTAACACTGAAGACTCTGCTAATTACTGTCTACAAACTGAAAAAGTTGGAAGCATGATGTTGGATGATAAATAAAATCTCATCCTCGAGTCTTTTGATATCAAATATATCAACACGAGTTGATAAAAGTGGGAAAATTTCGACGCTTGCCGAGGATTTTTGCCACTTTTATCAACGCTTGAGATTCTCTATGTAAACGTGCAAGCTGAACTTTTGAAGTCCGTTAACTCCCCTTGCTTCGGGAAGATGGATGAAGCAGATGAGGATGAGAGGTCGCAGTAAAGCGCGAACGGATCAGAGGAGCAAATCAGGGTTATCAGTGGGTGAAATACTGGTTTCATGAAAATTTTAAAAAACTGTTTGTGTCAAACTTGAACAAATATTTTTACAATATAACAAAAGATAAAAAGCTGAAGAAGGAAAACAATAAACATAATTAAAAAGCATTTGACATATGAAAACTGCTGACTTGGTTCATGCATGTCATCGTATCCCAATTGGGTGGATCGATGCTCATGATGTCAATCACTGGTTTGTCTTGTCCAGACTCTATTATTTACAGACCTCCGTCATATATAGCTGGAATATTGCTGAGTGCGGCGTTAAACAACAAACCAACAAACCAACAGCCAAACAAAGAATTCAGGTGATCGCTACAGATGTTGGTGGATAATATTTAAACAAACTACTGCTGGGTTAAAGCTATTAATTACATGTCAGTGGAAAGAACAAGACTGTCTTAACGTGTGTATCACACATGATCATGAATCCTGATCGTGTTCAAACACAGGGAGATTTGTAGACAAATACGATTTTCACAACAATATGTTTCTGTTAGTTTCCACATCATCATATTTATTCAGCATGGACGAAGGTCATCGGTCCATACAGCTTCAGTTATAGCGTAGCCAACGAGCAGTTGAAATATGAAATACAAACATTGCGGCAATGTCAAATGTCCCGGGTTAGAATTGGTCTTCAGCAACCCATGCTTGTCGTAAGAGGCGACTAACGTGATCGAGTGGTCAGGCTCGCTGACTTCGTTGATGCATGTCATCGTATCCCAATGGCGTAGATCGATGATCATGACGCCAATCACTGGATTGTCTGGTCTAGACTCGATTATTTACAGACCGCTGTCATATAGCTGGAATATTGCCGAGTGTGGGGTTAATCAACAAACAATGTTACCAACAGACAGTATTATATTTTGTATTTCTGTAAAGTGGGGTGTACGTCGTATTTCTTGTGAAGATAAATTTGACGCAGGTCTGCATAAGCCTCACAAACAAGCAAAAAGTGATACTCATTATCTACATATCCACTGTTACATACTTTACAATGTCTTTCTTCTGTTGGTGTTTTTATATGTATCCACCTGTTTCTATGTTTAATTTATGAGAACTGCTCGACTAAACTTATGAACTGTTATACACTTTATGTTAGGCTTCACATGGAAAGATTGTATGGGGCGGTCGGGTAGCCTAGTGGTTAAAGGCGTTAGCTCGTCACGCCGAAGACCCAGGTTCGATTCCCGACATGGGTACAATTTGTCAAGCCCATTTCTGGTGTCCCCCGCCCTTATATTGCTGGAATATTGCTAAAAGCGTCGTAAAACCATACTCACTTACTCTTACACAATACATTTTATAGTATCAAAAACTCTGTTCTAATCCTATCTATATGCTGTATCTGCTGGTTTTCCCAAAGTTTTCCGGAACCTACTTTATACAACATCTTTTAGAGTTTTGAAGCCCACTTAATAGTATCATGTCTAACAGCATCATATTTTTTAACATTTGTCCGATGAACGTAAATCTCTCATACATAACATTAAGTAAAATCAACATACAAATACTTATGACAACGCTTATAAGGATAAATGTAAACTGGACATCTTTGGACATGATTGAAGTGGACATCTGAATAGAAGGAAAAGACTTGCAGGCAACCATATTAACAATCTCTAGATCGTCGCCTGGGAACCAGATGGTCCTACGTCCATATTTGACCAAAAATGATGTTTTTGTATTTTCGTTCCAAATGGGCACTTTTCTAACGTTGTTATACATTTCACGAAGCCCCTGTTATTGAAAAATAGTTTCTTTCGGTGATTCTATGTCTAACAACTCAAATTCTTGACAGATCATGTGACATCTTAGTTCCAAATCATTTTGGGATAAAACCCTTTGGTTATCATTTATCAACTGTAGAACGTGAACATTGGGGGGCAACTCCCCCGAGATCTGTCTGCTGAAATACTGAATAAAAGTTGATGATTTCATCACAATAAGCTGTCTCAAGTATGTTATCTCTTCTTTGGGTGAAAACATTGGTCCAGATTAATAAGAATACGCCAATTGAATTTACTCATGGAGAGAGAACAGTGTGGATCTGAAAACAAATGTCCTAACTCCCTTGGTACTCTTACATAAAAATAACATTTATCTGTGAATTGACAAGATGGATAAATTAATTTTGCTTAAAAAAAACAACTTATAAATTATTTGTTTGTTTTATTTGAAATAAATGCACAATGTTTTATAAGTTAATATCATACAACACTCCAAATTTAAAAAAATTATTGACTCAAAACTTGTGGACATAGGACATTATGGTTCTCAGGCGACGAGATGTGAATTACTATCAATAGCCATACCTCATCCCTCCGCGCCATGCAACACAATGGGCAGAAATTTGCTATCGATAACCAGTGATGAAAACGTTATATGCATGGCACATGTTTAAGTCTTGAAAAACTTTAAATACCAAATACTGCCCTTTGCATCGGTAAATAGCACTATCAAAGTGCTTATTCCAAGATATTTTTCTTAAAAGGTTATGACTAAATAGTTATAAGGAGGAACATATTCAATAGGAACGTTCGTAACGTTAAAGGATATGGTATTATATCATCACCTACAAAATTTCAGTTTTTATATGAAGCATGATTCTCCTGTAATATGCAGACTGTGCTCAATTTGCAAGTACACTTTTTCATTGCACATGACTAATTTCAGGATCAATGCGAAACTACAGCCTGAAATACCTGAACTTGATTTCAGTATCTACCATAAATAAGATTCTGTTTTCCACCTACCCTTGTCACAGGATTTGCTATAATTAAACCCAATAAGCGCCCATGTCCCAATAAGCGCCCCCCCCCCCCCCCCCCCCCTTTTCCCGGATGCCCAAGTAAGATTTGCTCACCTGTTTTTTACATACGGTCAAGAATCTTTTGTAGTTGGTTAATGAGGAGATGTTCACCAGTAAAACGTAAGTAACAGTTTATCTCTAGCCCCCCAGCAACGGAAGAATATCGATAGGCTTACTGATGAATTTACGCCAATTTGACTCTGAATTGGTCCCAATAAGCGCCCACCCTAAGCTTCTATCTTTATTTTAAGCGCCCTGGGCGCTTATTGGGTCGAATACGGTAACCACAATCGCGATTCGACGATTCATAATATGATATTTTCGTCCTTTACATCTGATAAAACATGAGCCAAACGCTTGTCTTCATAGATGCGATCATATAGATATAGATGGGAAAATTTGTTGCTTGTTGTTAAACGCCGCACTCAGCAATATTCCAACTCTACGACGGCGGTCTGTAAATAATCGAGTCTGATCCACGATACGATGACATGCATCAACCATGTCAGCGAGCCTGACCACCCGATCCCCGTTAATCGCCTCTTATGACAAGTATGGGTTGCTGAAGATCTATTCGAACCCGAACCCGAACCCGGAGAGAGAGAGAGAGAGAGAGAGAGAGAGAGAGAGAGAGAGAGAGAGGTGGGGGTGGAGGGGGGTAGAAGAGGTTGGACACTCTGGATAGGCACTCAGGGTACAGTTTAGTCATTGACATTTAGTGTTTAATTCAGTGTCGAACATCTACCAGGAACATGTCGCGTTCGCGCAAATGCAACTAAGGGAAGGATATCGTGGGAGTGGCGCGATAACTTGAAAGCAGACCGAACAATGAGTCACGGCCACAGCGTCTGCTAGCTTTAATTGACAGTTGTCGGACACATGAGGTTCTTATGCGTAGCCGGTACTTCCTTGAAATCTCCTAGTTGCCGTCATGTCGGACAGGATGGCAGCGATACTTGATCGGTCTCAGCCAAGAAGCCATGGTAAGTTGCCCTGCAGGGTAAATACACTGAGAAATCACGATATTCTAAAATTTCAGGCTTTTTATGTTGTGACCAGACTGGTTTATATTATTCTTTGTTTCTCCGTTTATTTATCACTTTATTTGTTGATATCAATGGACAGTTAGATCTACATACTAATTTTACCTTTTCTCTCTCATTTTATGATAAGTAGGTAAGAGAAGAAACAAGCATGCAGTAGATCTATTGGTATTGAAGTATATATAGAATCTACTGTATATTTATAAAACATTTCAGTCAACTCTTTCATATTTCCAAGTGCACAGGGGCTTGTTTTTTTCAGGCAGAACTCGGATCCAGTGATTCGAGGCATGTGTCATATTTTTATTTTCTATACTTTTTGTCACAGTAAAAGCCTCAATGTGAAATCGGCAAGAGTTGAAGGGTGAAAGAGTAATTTAAAATACTGTGTTTTCAATGTAGCAAGAGCGAGCTCATTTGTACGTTTGACAGCACTATGTTTGACATTTGAAATTTCATGATACGTTTTTAGTTTTAAATTTAGGTTTGCGCTGTCAGTGTGATGTATCTAAATGCTATGTTTTAAGCCATCAAATCTACAGGTAACATGGCTCAACATTGAAAGTACACTATATATATTTCCCTGTTATGGGATCTCGAACGCTAAAGAAACATTCATAGTTTTCTCACTAATCACAGGCACATCTGTACAACATATCACTCACTTATAAAAGACGACTTTATCTTAAAAACAGGCTATCATCTGAGTATTTACAATGTCTGTGTGATGCCACACCCCTTGCAATGGGGCGAGTCATCGCAATAAACATGGCTGTCCGAAAACATGATGTCCGAAAACCTACTACCTGACAATATATATCCATTCTATCATGACAGACTGAACCATGCTCTTTGGTGTTCCCAAGTGAAGTGCTAAGGGTTGATGTTTTGATAAGATTGCTGATCTAATTAACAGCCTTGCAACAAAATATGTCACTTTTGTTATAGTTCATCTGAATAGGAGCTATATTAGAAACCGACCCGTGAAGATCAGGGGTGGAATAGGTCTTCAGCAACCCATGCTTGCCATAAAAGGCAACTATGCTTGTCGTAATAGGCGACTAACGGGATCGGATGGTCAGGCTCGCCGACTTGGTTGATGCATGTCATTGATCCCAATTGCATGGATTGATGCTCATAATGCTGAGTGCGGCGTTAAACAACAAAACAAACTATTTTAGAAACCCTGGACAACTCTCTTTTCTGGCGTGTATAATCGAAATGAAACATGACAGATGATATATATATGATATATATGTGATGTACATATGATGTACATATGATGTATATAAAGAGAATCTCACCTGAGTGTCTTTTGATATTTAATATATCAACACTCATTGATAAAAGTGGCAAAACTCCGAGGCTTCCGATTGTGAGATTTTATTTATCATCCAACATCATTCTTCCAAATTTTTCAGTTTGTAGACAGTAATAAGCAGTGTCAAAGTATTGCTAACCTTCAGTAGCAGAGCCATTATTGATCTAATTTGATTGTGACATCATGGTAACAATGACGTCACAATTGTCTGCAAAGCATTGTGATGCAATTACATTTGCAGCGATATCTACAATGTAGATATCGCCTGATCTCACCTGATGTACATAATTCAAATTCATTATGCGGCGCCCCCTGTCCTGTCAGATGATAAATGATGTATAAAGTAAACTTGAAATTAAAATAACTCAATATCAGAATATATTTCATCTGGTAAAATAATAGTTCCATCTACTACTTTTCTCTATCATTGCATCAAAATCCTTTTCCGTTATATTATTGGTTATGTTTTAACTGAATCACTGGTAGATTGTGTTTGATTTTTTGTTTTACGCCACTCTCAGCAATATTCCAGCTATATGATGGAGGTCTGTAAATAATCGAGTCTGGACCAAACAATCTAGTGGTTGATATCATGAGCATCGATCCACGCAATTGGGATCGATGACATATGCTTCAACCAGTCAGAGAGCCTGACCACCTGATCCTGTTAGTCGCCTTTTACGGCAAGCATGGGTTGCTGAAGACCTATTCTACCCCGGATCTTCATGGGTCTGGTAAATTGGGACAAAAACGTAAATTGATCTATTGTATATATGTCTATGATTGGGAGAATGGCAGCTGATTGCTGTTTCTGGTTTAGTTTATAAGACAATACACATGGTAATCTTTATCCCTGCATATAAAACAATGTCTGGCATAGCAAGAAATACAATCGAAATGGTAAATCTTCATGTCTAGTGATGTTTAATCGCTAATTTCACAATTTCATGGACAAAATTTGTTATTGCGTTGTTTTTTCACCTTGAGCAATACAATTTAGATTTTATACCAACAGGAAGTAGTTTGATGAAAGTGTATCCTTTACATAGGCCAACCACTTTCTTAAGAGTCTTTTCTGCTTCTCAAAATCTGGTTTATCTACAGTCATATATGGAAACACTTTTTATGCTAAACAACCACATTATTTCCTGGCAACAAATCATATTTCTATGTTCCAACATCAATCACTGGGGGAAAAAAGGAAACTTCAAGAAACTATTGACATTCAAAGAAAGAAGCCAGATATTCACAGAGACCAGTGACAGCTGAAAATTACAAAATATAATTTCTGTGTCATTTGAACATTCCTAATATTGAGAAAATAAATCTTACCATCATTATCATGAGAGGTAGTGAGGTAGTGGTTTCGTGCAAAAGTTAGCTCTCGTGATTCATTGTAAAACATTTCCACCCTAGGTGAAGTTTACCCTGCTAAATATGTTATAAATATTGTTGGAAAGAATGGTGTCAAGAATTAAGTGGATGAGGTGATATAGGGTTTAATATTGCGTTCAAGATTATTGCACTTACATAGCGACATGCATGCATGTGTGGGTGTGTTGGTGTGTGTGGCTGTGGCTGCTTGTACTAGTTTGCCGAGTATATAGTGCTAGCCTCACTGAGATACCATGTTGCAGTTTAACATGAATACCCCACTCAGACGCAATATACTGACTCTGAGCTGACCTTTCCTTGTTTTAGCCCCTTAGTGCCGAGCGTCAGGCTGGGTAACAACGGGTACCATCTTTTAACGTCTTTTGTTATGATGCGGCTGGGGATCGAACATCCAACCCTCTGCTCTCCGGGCAGACCTTCTATCTCAAGACCATCAGTAAAATGCATGTGTCTGTAGTTATCAAGGCTATCCACTAGGACTACTCAGACCCGTGGTTAGTCACATGATATATTGTTTAATGCTGAAAATGATCTAGAACTCCATGGTAACAATACAAGTCACTACACTGTAAGTTCACATTTCTTTCTGACTGTGCATGCATTCCTTCTGACTTTTATATGTTAAAAGATTGATAAAACTTCAGTCAGCTTCTGTGTAAGCATGACAAGATCGTTTTATGGTGTACCTAAATACTTTTGTCAGGGCTCTGGTCAAACAATTCCCAATCAAACATTTTGTACCCACTCATAGGACCTACAGCAGGTACCTGGGTACGGTCAGGTAGTAGGGGGTTGGGTAGTAAATTTGAACTCATCCCAGCCCTACTACGCACCCTGGCTAAAGGTAATAAACATGTCTTAGAAAATAAGGGACGCAGATCAGTAATTAACTGTAGACATGATAAACTAATAACCAAAATTATAGTATTATCATGGTCAGGGACAAATGGTGTCTCAGGATGAAAGTTATGCGACTGCAGTTTCAGGCCTAGTCAAAGAAAACCGTAATCAGTAAAACCCGCCACATTTTCCATTGATCACAAACACAGTATGTCACACTGACTGCCCTAAACAGAGCGCTCGCGCTTTGTGTTATATCAGAAATATGTTGTGTGATGAGAAGACTAACATTGTCTGATCAGTTTATCTGTTCTGCAGTCAGTTGTGAACTGCAGACTGCACAAGGTGCAGTGGAGAAACAAACCAAATTGCACCCTGCGTCAACACAGGTTTGCTTGGCAGGTTTTTAGAAACGGGAGTTATCTCCCTTACTTGACTCTCCCTGCTCTCAGGGGTCTCGTTTTGCCTGGTAGCGCTTGTTAACATGTGTGTGCCAGTAAGTCCTATAAAGAAGAGTTCTCTTGAGTCCCCTTGAATAAGTCCTACAGCTCCTTTAACATGAACTGGCGCTGCAATAGCTAGGGGCCATTAGCTTGGGATCCGAAGTTTGTCATGCAGGTTCCTTCTTTTGAAGACATCTTACCTTTTTCATATCAATGTGATTTTGTTATAAAATATTAAAGAAATCAAATTTTATAAAAAGTTCAAAATTCCACAAGGCACAGGGCTTAAAGTTTCTGCTGAATGGTCAATGCGACATTAAATTTTAACTCACTGAATGATCAAGTCAGCTTATGTTATGGTCTGTTTACCTGTGAAGATCTGGGTTGATGCATGTCATCGTGTCCCAAATGCATATATTGATGCTCATGATGTCAATCACTGGATTTTTGGTCCAGAGTTGATTATTTACAGACCACTGTCATATTATTGGAATATTGCAGAGTGAGATGTTAAACACCAAACAAACAAATCATGGCCTTGTTGTCTGGTGTTTGTTGTGCATCTAGTAGTTGAGGTGAGGTGAAATGGGGTTTAACGTCGCGTCCAAGATTATTGCACTTATATAGCGACGTGCATGCACGTGTATGTATGTGTGTGGCTGCTTGTACTAGGCCGGACTGATGCCGATTCATAGTGCTAGCTCACTGAGATACCATGCCACAGTTTAACATGAATACCCCACTCAGACACAGTATACTGACTCCGAGCCGACCAGTCCTTGTTTTCGCCCCTTAATGCCGAGCGCCAGACAGGGTAACAACAAGTTCCATCTTTTAACGTCTTTTGGTATGACGCGGTCGGGGATCGAACCCCGAACCTTCCGCTCTCCGGTCGGACGCTCTACCATTAGACCACGGAGGCGGTCTGTGCATCTAGTAGT